TCGCAAACGGTCGCATTCCGTCTTGTATTTAGGTCGGTTATATATATATATATATATTGATATTTATTTAAATATTTATTAAATTTAGAAATATTTTATTTTTTTTAAAATATGTGTACTATTTTAGGGAAAATTTACAATAATGTACCAAAAAAAACGCATTCTATACTTCTATTATTGTAATCTTTATATTCTATACTTTTTTAAGTTAAAATGACCATCAAACTCTTCTATATTATTACAATCTGCAGATTTCCTACATTTATAAAAAAACACTTGCATGAATTTCGGTTTTCTCTATATACATAAAAAGAAACACTTGTATGCATTTTGTTTTCCTATATAAGTATAGAAAAACACTTGTATGAGTTTCGTGAAAAAACACTTGCAGGTCAACACGTCATCACGTCAGCAGGTCATCACATCAGTAGGTTAGCAGATCACCTGCTGCATATCGCAGGCGACCTGCTGCATATCACAGGCGACTTGCCGCATGTCGCAGGTCACCTGTCGCATGTCGCAGGTGACCTATCGCAGTCGCAGGTGACTTGCCGCATGTCGCAGGTGACCTGTCATAGGCCGCAGGTCACATGCTGGAACCTGCCACAATTTTCTGTTTCAGGAATTTCATCAAACATCTTTTGTGTAGAAAATAAAATGATCATATGAATACCACAGAAAAAGAAATCAGCTAGAAGAGTATCTGAGTAGATTAAATAAACTGTACGAAATAGAGGGAATAAAGAAAATATTAGAGAAAATATAAGGACAAATCTAAAAACGCACTGATTTCTGAAAGACAGATTATTATATAATCGCAGAGAGATAGAGATGAGAAGATTTGGTCCAACCAGCAAAAGGATCGAGAAAATAGGTAAATGTACATGGCCGTAGTTATCGTTAATTATCTAGTCGTATTTGTATTATGTTCGTAGTATAATCACGGTCGTAGTTATCTGGTCGTAGTAAAATCACGGTCGTAGTTAACATTAATTATATGGTCGTATTTGCATTATATTCATAGTGAAATCACGGTCGTAGTTAACGTTAATTATATGGTCGTATTTGTATTATGTTCGTGGTGAAATCACGGTCGTAGTTAACATTAATTATATGGTTACATTTGTATTATGTTCGCAATGACATGACGCAGGCCGCAGGTGCCATAGGTGACCTGCCCAGACCGTAGGTGACCTACCGCAGGCCGCAGGTGGTGCAGGTGTCGCAGGCCGCAGGTGCCACAGGTGACGCAGGTGACCTGCTGCAGGCCGCAGGTGATCTGCCGTAGACCGTAGGTCATCTGGGGGATATCATAGGTTATCTGTCAGACCGTAGGTTATCTATCGTAGATTGTAGGTCATTTACCGCAGAGCGCAGGTTATTTTCCACAGATCGCAGGTCATTTGCCGCAGTTTTCTGTTACAGACATTTCATCAAACACCTTATGTACATATAAAAAATAATCAGAATATCACAGAAAAAGAAATCAACCAGAAGAGTATTTAAATAGATTATATAAACTATAAGAAATAGAGGAGATAGAGAAAATGTTGGAGAAAAAAGAAGAGTAAATAGCAAAAGTACCGATTTCTAAAAGATAGATTATCACACAATCGGAGAGAAATAATGTAAGGGGTAGTTTAGGTATTTAGAAAAAAAATATAGTATGCAAAAGTTATTTTTTGTGAGATATTTTGTAAATTTCGTTTTTATTTGGGTACATTTTTCCAACTATCTCAATATTTTAAGCACGTATACGTGGTTACCATTAAATAAAAGATGTCAAATAAATATATAAATTTTTATTTTTATCTAATTGATACCTCAATAATTAGAATATTCGAAATTTTTAACTCAAATATTAAAATGTTCCAAATGGATATCCAAACTCACGAAATCGAAATCAATTAATAATTTGGATTCGTTTTTATGTGGATATTAATTATCTAATTTATACATTTTCCTCAGATTCGAAGTTGAGAATTATTGTCGATGTGAGTTTTATTTTTTATGTTAAAAAATAATATCTAATTTATACATTATCATCAAAGTCGAGATTAAGAATTGTTATCGATTTCATGAGTTAAGGTATCAATTTAGAATATTTTCATATTTTGAAATATAAATTTGGAACATTTTTTAACATTCGATTGATGTATCGATTAGATCAAATTAAAAGTTTAAATATTTATTTATCATATTTTCTAAAGTTGGATATTTATATAAATTTTTTTTATACTTATTTTTATTATTTTTTATTTATATTTTACTTTTTAATATTTTATTTGTGTTAACAGGGAGAAGGGTAATCGCTCATTCTTAAAACGGTCATGGTATTACATAGCAATTTTGACGATGCGAGTGTTGACGGTTAAAAATTTGACCGTATTTTTTAGAAATTTGAAAAAAATCAAAAGTTTAGTATTTATTTTATAAAATATTTATTAGTTGGTTGTGAATTTTAAAATTGAAATTCAAAATCTCGTATTTAAGTCTTAATTGTTTTTTTTAAGATTTTTCTAATAAAAAATTACTAAATTTACACTTATACCTAGGAGTGGACATAATATCCGAAAAAACCGAACCGATTTGTTATCCGATCCGTATCCGAATCGAAAATTTGGATATCTGGAGTTTACGGATCGGATACGGATATTTATTTTGAAATATTTATCGGATATACATCGGATATGGATATCAAATTCGAATTGATCCGATCCGTACTAATTAATAATATTATTAAATATAAAAATAATTCGCTATAAAAATTTAAAATGCTTTATATTTACATATTTTATATGTATATTCAAGAAATATTTTGTATATATTGAGATTTAGAATATTTAATCTTTTGAATATTAAAATTTATTATGTTTAATTTTTGAACTTTGAACTTTCAATATATTTGTATATAATAGATTATGATTATATTTGTATTTGAATTGATTTAAATTATTTAAATTATGAATTTTAAATTGTGAATAACATTTATATTAAATAACTTATATATTTTTTTTTATATTTAAAATTGTTATTTAAATTTGAATTTAATTTTTATAATTTTTATGTCGGATACGGATATTCGCAAATATCCGCGATATTTACGGATATCCGAAATTTTGGATATCCGTAAATTACGGATCGGATACGGATAATAAAATCGAGTATTTGTGCGGATTGGATACGGATACGGATATCTTAAAAATCACGGATATCCGATCCGTGTCCACCCCTACTTATACCCATATTAATCCATTATTTATAGGATACGGGTTAATTAGTCACTAATTTTTCATTAGTCTAAGTTTTAAAAAGTTTCTATACCTTTTTTTTACAATATAGAATCAGACATAAAGATAAAAATAGATAAATTCTATTAAAAAAAAAATTCAGTATTATTTGTTTTGATTTCTAAACATTTTATTTATCTCTTTCCAAATGAATCTTTTATTCAATAACTTTTGACTATTTAAGGAATAAGTAGTTGGATCAGTCAAATAGAATGGAGTTATTTCATATCTCATATAAAAAATAAATTATCCACCAAAAAAAATAAGAGGTCAATGTTGTTTGTTGTATAATAATTGGCTTAATAACTCCTACGGGGGGGGGGGGG